TCTGCGCGCGCGGCCCGCCTCCTGACAAATGTTATCTGGCGGCCAGTAGGTTCTGGGCCGGGACAGGTCGGCAGGGAGGTGTGTGCACACACTCGGTGCCCTCCGGGGAGCCTCGCGGGTCCTCCAGAAAGGGTTTCGCGGTCAGCGCGTTTGGCCGGCGCCGCCCGCAGACGCGGCTGGAACGAGGCTTCCCTGGGCCCCCAGCGAGGACTTTGCTGGCCTTGTCCTAACGTGTTGGCTTCTCCAAGCTTAGCAGTTTGGGAGGCGGGTCCCCGGTATCAGGTCGATCCTTAGGGCTGGCTTCGGGGATCCCGCCCTGCCCTGGTGCTGGGCAGCTTTTCGGAAGAGCGAGGGAAACTGGAGGCGAGGCCTCTCCCTGTAGGACGCAGGCTTGGGCTCTGGGCTACCTGCGGGCCAGAGGGTTCTCACGCAGCCTTTCCGAGAGCGCTGGCCTGTGTGAGTGAGTGAGTGTGTGTGTGTGTGTGTGTGTGGAGTGTGTGTGAGTATGTGTGTGTGGGTGTGTGTGTGAGTGTGTGTGAGTGTGTGTGTGTGTGTGTGTGTGTGTGTGTGGAGGGTTATGGGCAATAGCACTCGGACAGGTAACTCAAGAAAAGATAAAGGAAAAGGGTCACGTCTTCAAATAAGGAGGCGCTTATTCCCCAAACTCTGGGCCCAGCTCCGACTTTTGAGCCATTCAGCGGCCACCGCCACCGGATAAGATAGGTGATGGCGGCCCGACAGGACAAGAGCGGGGGCCCGCCTGGGGGACCGCCCGGCCTCGGCCTGCCGCTGGGCTCCTCGGGGCTCCACTTGGGCCGGACAGTGAGCCGCCGGCCCGGGCTCAGCGCGCAGAGCGGCAGAGGCAACGCGGCCCTGCCGCCGGCCCCGGCCCCTGCGACTCCTCTAGAGTCTGCTCTCCTTCTCTTAAGCCGGTTGGAAGGAAGGTCGGAGGGTTCAGAGCTCTTGACCTGGGACCGGCCCCTGGGCCGCGGCAGGGTGGCGTGGGCGCGTGGGTAACTGCTGTCCTTCTCTCCTCCCGCGCCCGTCGCCCCGTGTTCCTCCCGCAGCGGAGTCGCCCTGTCCCGCGCGCACTTCGAGAAGCAGCCGCCCTCCAACCTGCGCAAGTCCAACTTCTTCCACTTCGTGCTGGCGCTCTACGACAGGCAGGGGCAGCCGGTGGAGATCGAGCGCACGGCCTTCGTGGACTTCGTGGAGAACGACAAGGTACGCGCAGGCCCCTACCCCTCCGGCGGGTCGCCGCCTCCTTGCAAAGCGCGAGGATTCCATCTGTCACATCATCAGGGATGACAGATCAGGCTCCTCACTCGCAGCCTCTCCATCCGTCGGTTTCCCCACGCCTCCCGCCCTGCCGGTGCGCCGCCTGCTGCGGGCTGGCGGCTCCGGGTCCTGAGCCGAACCTGGTGCTGCACAGACCGCAGCGAGCGCCCTCCCGCGAGAAGGTAGTTTAAAGGCACCCGGGCCCTGCTGCCCGCTCCCGTGTGTCAGTTCTGTTCCACCTGCTGCTCCCGCGGAGCGGGCGGGTACCAGAGCGCGGCCCTCCTCGCGGACACGGCTCCCACTCTCGCTCCCCGCGCACCGCTGCCCGCCCAGGCCTTCGATCTCAGAGGAAGCGAGGCGAGACTGAAAGGAAAGTCTCTTGCCCTCTGAGCCGCCGTCTCCTCAGCTGCACTATGTGAGCTTCAAGCAGGCGCCCAGAGGTCCCTCTTGCCCCTGGGCCCATCCCTGCAGCTCGGGGCCGGAGGCGCTGGTCCTGTGGGGTAGGGACAAGGTAGCGCTTGCATATGACAGGCCCCTTCACCTTTCTGCTAAGAGAACTTGCAACTTCCTCCGGAGGGACACCTGGGCGGGTTGGGTGGGGACTGGTAAAGGCAGCGTTGGTGCGGTGCCCCTTTTTTGGGCCTCAGAGGAGTCACACTCCTGAGGATATTTTTAAGGGAGAGAGACAGAGGCTTGGAGAGGGTCAAGTGGCGGGGCCTTGGCAAATTTTGGCGGTGGTCCTTCAGCAGAAGCTCCTGCCCTTTGACCCTGGGCTGGGGCGGAGTGGTGTGGTGGAGGGGGTGAAAGGCAGAGGGAGGCGGTGTAAGGAAGTGCTCTCTCCTCTTTCCTTCATCTGGGGGCTCCAAAGCCAGGGATTCCAACACCGCCTGTCTTTTTAGGAACAAGGCAACGAGAAGACCAACAATGGCACCCACTACAAGTTACAGCTCCTCTACAGCAACGGTGAGCGCCCCCGCCCTCTGTGTCCAGGTGCCACACAGGCCCCTTTCAAGGAAAGCAGTTGACCTTTGTCCAGGTAGCTTGCAGGCAGTCTCAGGTTCAGGGAGAGCAGGGTTTGGGGAGGCTCGGTCAGCCTGCGGCAGCCCTGGGCAGCTTCCTGGGCCTGGCCCTACAGCGGGGCCAGTTGGGGGGTTTGCAGGAGAAGCTTCCGGGGCCCTTACCTTGTGCCCATCGCCTCCCCACAGGTGTCCGCACGGAGCAGGACCTGTACGTGAGGCTCATTGACTCGGTCACTAAGCAGGTGAGCCCGTAGTCCACTGGGCTCCTCCTCTGCAGGGCCCCCTCTGACCTCCCCCCACCTTTACCTGCCCTGCCCCACCCTCCACGAATTTCTGGGTCAGACTTCACATGCCCTTGAACATCAACTCGCACCTTGTTCACTATGAAAAAAATTTTCCCCTCTCTCCTCAATTGTTCTGTTTCTTTCTGGGTGGGGAAGTGAGAAAAATGGTGAAGGGAGAAAGCAATTATTGGGAGATTTGGTTCCCCAAACATTGCCTTTTGCAAGAAATATGTTCTTGCGGGGCAAACCTGTCTATATTTCGCTTGAGTTAGTCAGGCCACAGCTTGGGGCCTGTGCTTCCAGTGGGCACACCTAATGAAGTGGTGGGCAGAGAGAGAGGAAGATGGATTCTGTGCTTGCTCTCAAGTCCCCTTTTCCTTGTTTCCTCACTCCCCTCACACTTCCCTTCTTGCCCTTGCCTCCTTCGCAGCCCATAGCGTACGAGGGACAAAATAAGAATCCGGAAATGTGCCGAGTTCTTCTGACACACGAAGTCATGTGCAGGTAAGAGCTGCTTTCCCTGCAGGCTTTGCTCGCACGCTGGGCAGGGGAGAGGCCTCTGCGCTCAGGGACGCCCCTACAAGGATTTGCAGGAGGGATGGTGCGCAGGGAGGGAGGCTGAGCCACTAGAACGTCTCCTTTACTGAAGGCCAGATGCTTAGAGCGTCTCGGAAAGGACACCCAGAACCGCGCAGGATTCCGTCCCCAGGCGTCTGGGGAGTTTTCTCCGCCCGCCCGCACAGTTTCTGTTGTCCAGCAGTCGGGGCAGCTCAGGGGGGCATGGGCAGCCCCCGCCAAGTTTGGAATGGGGACTTCCGTACACCAGGCTCATTCCCACTGGGCTGGCAAGCTCGGGGTAGATTTCCAAGTAGGGGTCACGTGTGGCATTCAAGATCAAAGCACTGGAGACTCACAGTCTGGGCAAGGACCACCAGAGAGTCCAGTGGCCCATTTCCGGGGAACCCCACCTGAGGCACATGTATATGATGCCGAAGCGTTTCCTTCCTCCAGGAATGTCGCTTCTCCGATGATTTCTCATGTTAGAGGCGTTTCTTAGGTGAGGAGGAACCATGGGGAGAAAGATCAGAGGAGTTCACCACCAGTGCTGGGAGGGGTGGGAGAGGACCGCATCCAGGAGAGCTGGGTTTGGAGCAGCAGCTGGCTTCTCCTGGCTAAGTTGTGAGAGGAAGTCCTCACGGCTGAGTTGTGTGCTGGAATTTCTGCACCTTTCCCCATCTTCTTGCAGAGACGGATCCAGTCCATTTGAGTCTTTCTTCTGCGTGACTAGAAGAAAATAAAACAATTAGAAGAAATTCATCCACACACTTATTCTTTTAACAAATGTTTATTGAGTTCCTAGTTTTTTCAGGTGTTGGGGATCCCGTAGTAAAGGAGCGTTTTCTGTAAAAAGGAAACTCTTGGAAGAGGTGGTGATTTTGCTATAAAAATGTAAATCTTTGTTACACACACGTTTTTCTTCCTCCAAAATTTCTGATCGGAGAGAAAGCCTCAATTCTTCCTCGCTTCGCGATTGCTTCTGTAAATGTCTTCCAACTCCAGACGTGCCAGTTTGGGGTAATTGGAGGCCGTGGCTGATGTAGCCCGGGACTGTTTTATGGTCAGCTTCTGGCAGTGCTGTCTCCCTCACAACCCAGTCAGGAAGAAACATAACAATTTGACATGTTTGTTTTGGTTTTGACCAAGTATTAGAAAAACAAACTTTGCCAAATGCAAAGTTGAGCTCAGCCAGGGCTGAGGGGTCCTGGCTTCCTTGCCTGAGTAGCTGGTGAGGCACTGGGCGTTGGAGTAAGCAGATATCCACTTCACCATCCCAGGGCCCCTTCATGGATCCATTTAGAAAGAAAATACAATTGCAAGATGAGCTTGCATGTAATAACTAGACTAAATAGTCAGAACACTGATTCAGGTGGCTAATTGACGGATGCTTTTTAATTTCTCTCTATACTTTTAAATGTCTTTGTTTGGAGAGATTATCCTCTTAAAAGAAAAGAAAGCCCCAAATTGGCCCATTGTCTGATGAATTATACCTCTCATTTTAAAGAATACTTGCACGCCCCATCCAGTGGTATTTAAAGCTGACATTTTTATTTTTAAGCCCAATCAAATCCTCCTCATTTTATGCTGTTTAAGTAGTAGCATCAATTTTTAAAGCCTCTAGTTTAGTCTGCATTAGTAACACAATATAAAAATTTAATGTACTGTAACTTCTCTGTATTTGAGACCTGGGAAGAGATGCTCTGCTATTTTCTTTCCAAACTAGAATTTAAAACAAATATTAATTAATGGGTAAATAAATGATCCATTGGATGGGTAGTGTGTGTGTGTGTGTGTGTGTGTGTGTGTGTGTGTGTAGATGAACGGGGTAGTGACAAATGTTGGATGCAATGTGTCAGTCTGAGCTGACTGATTCTGCAGTTAGGGAGAAAAAGTCTCTTCTCCCACATTTTAAGAGCCCGTTATAGCAGTCAGTGGCTGAGGGATGAATGAGATGCCCCGTTCGCAATGGTTAGGGCACCCGGTTTCATTTGTGGGGTGAGTGTTTTGGGGTTTACCTGGGAATTTCCCTGCATGGTTTCATGTTCTGTAATCTTTAGTCAAAAAAGCTCATAAATTAGCGTTTAGCTTTGAGGAAGGAAACAATATTGATATCGTTGAGAATAACTTTTTCTCCCTTCTCCAATTGCTTCTGCTCCCTTCTTCCCTGCTTTAGTTCATTTTGACAATTATTAGCAAAGAGAAATCTAGTTGTTATGTCGCTGCCAGCCACCCCTGCCCTCAAATGCTCAGAGGGTTAAAAGATATTATAATTTGAACAGAAGTCGTCTCAAGGCCTACAGCTGGCTAATAACAGAGTTGTATTGAGTGCGAGCAAACCCCACAGCTGTGACTTTTCGCCACAAGGCGCAGGCTAGACAGGGCCCTAATCAGATGGGCCAGCCGGGCAGTGGGGCCAGTGTCTTTATCGGCCAGATGGTGTGAATTTAGACACTTTTGTTATGCAATCGCAGGGAGGAGTTGGGGAGAAGAAAACAAAACAAAAGCCACCATGCTGTGCGCTTATTTGAGTTTGAAATTAGAGACAGATTTTTGAAAGTTGAGGGTTGAATTTTAAAAACGATTTTGGAGGGGAAAGGGCATATCCACTTGTCTTGAGCAGGAGTTTGCTGACTGGACAGCCTGTGTCCATGGCTGGGCCTTTTCTCCTCCAGCCCCCGCCCCCCCTTTTCTTTCTCTCTTCCTGAAAAATCCAGGGAAGATTCAGGATTGGGATAAAATTTCTCATTTCCCCAACTTTTTTTTCTTCTCTCTTTCCCTCTCAAGATTCCATGAAAAGATAGGGAGGATGAAAGAGGCCTGTTAACGAATTGAGAGTATTTCAGGTAAAAGGTTCTCCAAATAAGCACCAGAATAAAATAAACCAAACCAAGCCAATAGAGAAAGCGCTTTCATTTTTATTCGTTAGGATAAATGGGCACTTCGGAGCCTCTCCGTGGTAGCTAGGACCACAGTCTTAACCTAGGGCCAAGTTCAGTTTCCTCTTCTCTTTGTTCAATTCCCCCCCCCCCCCCTTCTCTTCCTTTTTTTTTTTTTTTAAAAGTCTTGTTCACTGAACAAGAACTTCAGACTTACACACTTGCTTGCTGGGAAATAACCCTAAAAGCCTTTTTAGCTAAAGAAACTGAACTTGAAGTTTGTTATCTGCGCAATTCAGGGACCCAGTTCCTTCTCTCAACTATCCACACACCTGGGCCCAGAACGATTGGGGAATGTGGTTCATGAATGTCTTCCACTCTCCACTCCCCTTTGCTCATCTTAATATTCTGGTGTGACAACTGAATGTCATTTAAGCAGCCAAACGAAGAATAACTAGGACATCTTGATGAGAATTTTTCTTTAAAAAAGGAAAGAAAAAGAAAATTAGCTTTGGCTAACCCAGAGAAATTTTAAGAAGGGCTCTAATGGGGCAAATACAGTCCACTCCTATTATTTTTATACCTTTATTTTTATAGTGCAACAGCCAAGTAACTGCCTTCTACATCTTTTCTGTGCTATTAACATTAGAGATTATACTTAAATATGTGACTGTTGGAAAAGAGAAGATTGGGTCCTGAAATCTCTCTGCATTTTCTTTAAATATCATTTCCTTCCCTGAGCCGAATCCCCACATTGTATTACACTGGCACCAGGCTTACATTTTTATCTGTTTTCTTTTCCTCCGAGAAACTCCCCATGGAAAGCAGCTGAATTCAGCTGAGCAATTTTGCAAACTTACTCAGCCTCCTCGAAATCATTCCTTCTCAAACTAAACAGATTGGCACGCTCTAGCAGTGTGCGCTCTTGGAATTAAATTGTACACGGCATCAAACACACATTTGGGTTAGGTTGACATGCCGGTGATGTCAAAGGGGAGTCTAGGTAGAAGGCTTTAGGTAACTAGCATGGATGGGGCTTTTGAAATTGTGTTGCTAAGGGAAAAGGTTTGCCTGAACTACAAAGGTATTCCATTGACAGAAGCCACTGAAAAAGGAGAGGTGGGAGACAGAAATGGGTGGGGGCAGGAGTTGGGAAGAAAGACACAAGCTCTGGGAGTGGGGAGAGCAGCTGGTCAGCATTTTTATTGGTGTTAATCTTGGGATGGACTGAAATTTTAAAAGTTGAGACCTAACATAATTTCAAAGGCAAAATATTGTTTCAGAAAGTCCCAGGGGTAAGCTCTGGTATTTAAGAAAGTTGAGACACTTTTTCTTTTACTTCTTACTAATTTGATTAAATTTCTTAAAACGTCATTGTACCCATTTGGTGAAAGTTTTTTTGTCTTTTTTAAAACATCTTTCAAGTATATTCTACTTTTTGAGAATGGTAAAATTATTCACTAAATAGTCCACATGCCCCTGCATGAGAGAGATGGATTTAAAAAGTTGTTAAGTAGTTCTTTGTTTGTTTGTTTGTAATTCTGTGGAGGATCCGAGATGGTGAAAGCACTACAGAGAACCAGAAACTAAATTTATCCCTGGGCTGTGCTAGGCCTTTGAGTTCCTGCTGCCACATGGCTTCCCTCTTTTCCTTAGCCTGTCATCACTTTTGAAGGGTGCTCAGGGAATCCCATAGCCTCCTGGACTTCTACTAGAAGGAACTCTGGAGATAATCTAGCCCAACATTTTAATTTTATATATAGGGAGGCAAAACCCAGAGGGGTTAAAGAGATTAGACTAAATTCACGCAGCTGGTTTGGGACGGAGTTGGGTTAGGCAGCAGAGCTCTGATTCCCACGTTAACATTTTTTTCTATTGGGCCACGCCAACCTTAAGCTACAGAGGAACTATCAGGGGAAGGACCGCACTTACATGTAATTTTATTATTGCTAAGGCTTATTAGGCATAGTCTCCAACCAGTGCGGATGATAATGCTTTTCATATAAGCCCTGTCAGGGTGATAGTCAGTGCTGGCCATGTGCTTGAGTGAGCTGAGAGGTATTCAGAAGTCTGTGGTCCTGACAAGCAGCACTAGGGCAACTCAAGGAGGTGGTGTCCCATTGCTTCTCCACCACCAAGTGGCCTTTGCCCTTTTTACATTCCTCTAGCTCTCCCACACAGGGCCCTTTGATTGGAGTGTTTTACTTCTGCAAAGTCAAAGGACCTTCTGAGTACTTCCTACCTATTGCACTTGTTCTAAGACCTCTTCTTTGTCTCATGCATTCTCCAGCATCATCCAGCAGGTGCAAGTTCTGGGAGGGAGTGTTTTCAAGATGGGAACTGTACATCCAGTCCCATTTCTGTTCCATGACTTGGTGAAAAGGATTGGAGCTATAACTTTACAGCTCCCTGCCTCATTTTCTTCCTGTTTTAAAATACATGCCACAGTTCTGCTCTTCCTCCTTCATATTTAGAAAATGATGGAAATGGATGAAGGCATAAATGTTTATAAAGTACACTGAGTTTTCTGGAGAAAGATGTTATGTAAATAAGGTTGGTAAAAATCCAGGCAGCTATTTTATACATTTTCCTTTCCCTTCTTTCTCTAAATATTTGTTAAGACACAAAGATCTAAAATATATAGTCATTAAAATCATTCAACACTGAGCTGGAAATAACCTTATAGATTTTTAAATCCAGCTGTCCATGGTTCAGATTACAAATACGATTCTTGGGAAAATTGTGATTTGCTAAGAATTACCTGGTTTATAAGTCACAGAGTGAGAATTTAAATGAGTATCTCTGGGCTTCAAGTTCATTATTGTTTTTAAACATGGCCATAAATCCTGCTCTCAAGCAGCGGATAGTGAAGAGGCTACCCAGGACATACTAATTTTTGTGAACGTTCCTACATTGTATGCTTATTGTTTTTTCTTGATTTTAACAAATTTCTTTTACTTTTTTGGTTCCTTCCCAATCTACAGTCGATGCTGTGAAAAGAAAAGTTGTGGAAACCGAAATGAGACTCCTTCAGACCCTGTCATCATCGACAGGTAGGGGGAAAAAGTGATTAAAAAAAAATCATTTCCTTTATGAATCTCAACTCTGAGTACTGATCACTTGGGCTTTGTCGTAAGGTTGGTTTTATGTTACCTTCAACGCATGATGCTAGTTAAACATGCATTTTCTTGTTCTGGTTGGCCTTTCTTGGAAGAAGTCAGAACCTTCCCTTTTGAACTTAGGTCTCTAAATCCACGACGGGATTCTTTTCCAGGTGCATTTGCTTCAGCCTACTAGGGAGGGCGTGGATGGTAGGAGATGCCATCTCTCCTACCTGGCAGGGCAGGACCTCAGCCAGTTTGCTGAAAGAGGCAGTGTATCCCAAGTTAAGTGGCAACCCCTGTGTGGTTCTCAGTGATTGCTGTTGGGCTTGATGACTTCCAGTTTAGATTACCGTTTAGGGGATTATGACAAGCTCTCTATTGCATTGAAGGAGATTCCTTTCTACGACAGAGGATTGTATTCTGGGTCCTGTGTTATATTCAGAGTGGATAAGATTCTTTGGGACAAGATGCTAATTCATTGAAATGTGAGTTAGGCATCCTCAGCTGTCTGTTTTTGTGATTGGAAACAGAACTTATAAACCAATGAAGAAATACCAAATTAACTTCCAGCAATCATGTAATTTTTAAGAAATCCCATATTCCCACCCCTAATTTTTTCTCTTTCATTAAAAAACGGAATAATTCCCTGTTGCTTCTTTCTTTGGGTTTTCATGTTTCTAGCCAGGTCCTGAAATGGATTGGAGAGACCACAGTCTCCAAAGTTGTTATTCCAATATTCCAGTGAATCCTCAGCTGGGAGAATGGAACCTCTGGCATTCTTCCCAGAAACCCAGCTTGGTTTCTTCGTGAAAAGTATAGCATAGTCTTAGGAACGAGGGGGCTAGAATTCTGATTCTGTCCTAGCTTCTGACCTTGGACAAAGCACTCAGCACTTCTGTTCTTTAATGGTACAGTGGGAGGAGAGTTGGAGGGTACTGCCTACTTGCCCATGTTTGCACAGCTGGTTGGAGCAGAGCTGGCACTAAAGAAACAGTTGTCCTTACCTCCTCTCACTGCCACAAGCACCTTCTCCCAGCCCTCTCTGTCCTAACTTATGTGAGTTGGGTGTGCTGATTGCATGGGACGTCCATTTCCAGCTTCCCAGGATAGCCTTGGGATCCTCTGGGGGAGTTTGAAGGATATAAGAGCAGCCTAGACACAGATCCAGTCCTTCCAGCGTGTACCCTGAGCTTTTTAATCTTCATGTAGTCTTTTTCACGAATGTTTGCTGTCCTTTTAGGAAGGCACTCTAACCTCATCATTGTTACATGTTTTCTTGCAATAAACACCCTTAAATCAGCTTTAGAAATATTGGCAAACCTGTAAATGCTCACCTGCATCTTGCAACTCATGAGCACACATCCTAACGACTCTGAGCTTAGCAGCAGCTCTTCCTGCAAGAAACTACATAGAGTTATACCCACAGATAAAGCTGAATATGCTGTGTTTTCTGCCTATGCAATACACATGTTACAGATACAAAAAATGTAGTCTTTTTGCATCTATGGGAGAAAATATTTTCATATTTGGTGCCTTTGTTGTTGGTGCTAGAATGCCTTAAATTCTTCTGAGGAGGTGGAAACTGTATCTTGGCTGCTATATTATGGAGCTTTATGTGACTGTGGCACTTATTTTTACTGTCCTATGCACAATAAAACAACCCAGTGAAGTCTCTGCATCACTTGTAATATGTGTTACTTCCAAAATGTTTCACGTCTACACATAACATACCAAAGGGTACTGTAAATTGATCAGTATCAGGTTTTTAGAGAAAACATTTTATTATAAACAGATGCATTTATTTGTTTTGCTCATTGTAGGTTTTTTGTTGGAAGAGGTTTTTCCTTCACCAGACTCTTGTTTTATTGCTGTTGAATGTCTTTTCGGTGTGCCTTAGCCTTCTTCCCTTCATTTGTGGAAGCATAAGTGGATGCAGCCAGGTTTCCATTTGTTGAAGGTGGGATGGGTGTCATCAGAGGTTTGGTTGAGTTGTGCAGCTGGCCCCTGGGTTCAACGCCTGCTGACTTGGAGATGTCGAGAACACCCATGAACACCAAACGGGTGCAAAGTAGTCTATTTTGGATTTTCTCTGGGTAAATATAGGACTCTCTTCTTTGCCCTTGTTCCTACAATGCCAACTAATTATCTCCTCCCCCTCCTGGCTCAGTCTGGCCAGATGCAGTTAATTTACACTGTCTCTCCCTGAGTTTTCTCACACAACAGGCACGCTCCACTCTGGCCCCAGGGAACTTTGTTTATTCCCCAGAATTGTGCCTGTTTGGGGGAGGGGATGAGGAGGCTCAAGAGTGGTTCCCCAACTTTTCATCACCCAAGACCTCTTTATTTTTTCCCTTGGTGAATCCAGGGTTTTGCAAAATTTTGCTTGCCAACCTGCAGTTAGCAAGTGCTAATTTAGTTGTAAATCCATTTTTATTAATCAAAGACATGTACCAGAATGGAAAAGAAGAATTTCATCCCAGAAATGCCCTTGATCTCATCAATGACGGACCAGAGTTTTGATCCTGGTGAGACATGATATGTCATGTTACCCACTGACATGATAGACTTCCAGCTCAGCCAGAAAACAACTTGACCTTTCACTTAGCCCATGTGACCACATCCTGAGCAGATAATCAGTTTCTAACAGGATGCTTGAAATATAAAAAAAAATAGCTTTTGCTACCTTGTGGCCCCTTAATTGAATATTATTGGATTTTACAATAGGATGCCCCCATAGAGACTTAGTTCTCCCTTTCCGAAGACTTAGCCCCAGACTGGGAATTCTTTTTCCACACTAAATTACTCCCTGACTGATCTCTCTAGAAACATAAATTTAATTTTTACTTTCAGTTGTCTGTTCAGCGTGCTTTTGTGAATTCTTGGGCAGCCACACCCCTCTCCCAAAAGCCAGGCCAGCAGCACTTGCTGTGAATCATAGCCTCAAACAAAGTCTTTCTTCTACGTAAATGTGTGTGTGCATAAAGGGGGGGGGGCTTATTAACTTTTAGTGTAAAATTCCAAAAGTCCCTATCTGGGGAAAACCCAACAAAACAGAACAGAACAAAGCAAAAACAACAATGAAAACAGAATCCTTACTGTGGTCATCCACCTAAATCTTACCCATAAAGACCTGTGTGTGGTAAATTTAAAAAAAGGCTCACACTGATTTACATTTTGTGGTTTCAGAGGGAAGCTCTAATTCAACCTTGTTTTTCATGGGTTGTACTAGCTCAAACCCTCTTCTCTCTCTGGAAGCTTCTGCATATCTACAGACTCTCTGGGGCTCAGGATAACCTGGTGGTCCCTGGGAAGAGGACTGTAGGGACAGTCTCATTGATGTGAGGCAGGAAAAAGTCCTTATGGCTTCTATACTTGAAGCCCCATTAAAAGTCAGATAGGCAGGCAGGGCAGTATTTCTTTTTGAATCTTTGAAGGCTACCCCTGCCCATGTGCACAGTGGTAGGGTATTTTCTATTAAAAGGGTAGTTCCAACCTATTTCTCACATGCTACATATCCCAGTCTTTTGCCTTGGGACATGGGTCTCCTATATTTCTAAGCTCTGTTCCCAAGGGGGGCCATTTTAAGTAGTGATGTGTTTTTGTTCATTTTCTTTTTCAAGAAGCCAAATAAACAACAGGATAACTCTCATTCAAAAGGTTTACTCAGAAATGTTTGGTGTTTAGTTGCCCATGAGGGGTTTTCCTGATATTATCTTCCTCTTTTTAAAAAATTAATTGTGGTAAAATACACACAATGTAAAATTGGCCATCTTAACCAAGTGTTCAGTTCAGAGCTATTCAGTATATTCACACTGTGGTGCAACCACCACCATCCATCCATTTATCTCTACTCTTTCCATCTTGCAAAACTGAAACTGTCACCATTAAACCACAACTCCTCATTCCCCCTTCTTCCCAGCCCCTGGCAACCACCATTCTACTTTCAGTCTCTGTGAATTTGACTCCTCTAAATACCTCATATAAATGGAGCCATGTAGTATTTGTCCTCTTATGACATGCTCAATTCACTTAGCATCATATCCTCTAAGGTTCCTCCATGTTGTTGCATGGGTCAGAATTTGGCTATTGTGAATAATGCTACTATGAGCATGGGTAGACAAATATCTCTCTGCTTTCAATTTTTTTTTGTATATGCCCAGAAGTGGAATTGTTGGATCCTATGGTGGTCCGAGGAACTGCCACTGCCATACTCTTTCCACTGTGGCTACACCATTTTATATTCTCACCAACAGTGAGAATATAATTCCTCTACAGCTCCACATTACTTGCTACTTTCTTGTTTTTAGATTGTTGTTGTGTTTTTATAGTTGCCGTCCTAATTGGTATGACTCTTCTTTTAGATGATGTTTTCTCCTGCCGTCATGTTGGTAGGCATCTTCACCTGATGCTTTCCCCTCTGGTCCAGGCTTCTTGTGTACCTTCCCCTGCCATCTAGCTCATCATCTTCCTGCATTCCTCTGCCTCACCAACTGCCTTGTCCTACTTGCTTGAATCCTCTTCCCTTTGGGTCATTCCTTTCTCCAGTGCGTCACTTAACCCCAGGAAGAGTTATTTGTGGGATGGGAAATTCTGGAAGATAACTGTGAGGAGTAAAGCCCTGACTGACTATCCATGCATTAATCCTGAACACTGGAGTTTTTCTTTTTGTTAATTTATCAAACGAAATCTACAGTAATCTATTCTTGATTTGTGGCATAGATTCTGCTTGTAAACCCCCTGTCTCTTTCAGCATTGAAGCAGTATTTGGATAGTACCAAGGTCTTGGTGAGATTTATGTCCATAAAGCCCAGCAGATCCCTGCCATCCTAGGCCACTAAGGCTGGTTTTCATTCCTATTCATTCCCTTTCCCCAGAAATAGACAAGTCAGATATATTAGTAATGACATCTCCTGAACAAAGAATTCTATCTCTGAGAAGGATGGATAAGA